ATCGGCAGACTCGGGGTCGGCGAGATAGGCCAACGCAGCGTCTTTGGGAGGATAGTAGATCTCAATACCGTATATGAAGTTGTCACTGACAGCCGCATCATCTGCGTTAGTCAAATTCAGGTCGCGGGAAGCTTTGTGAGAGTCGAGGTACCCGCGGACGGCGGTCACTTCCGACTTGCTAAGTGGTGCCCAGATATTGCGAGGGGCAGGCGCTTTAGCAAATCGAGCGTGTGGTGCTGGGCATTGTGGGAGTGTACTGGAGAAGATGGGTTCGGGAAAGGTATCGACGGTAGATCGAGTCTGGTACAGGTACAGAAGCCCGAATAGAGCGATCGCGAAAGTGGATAAGATGCTAAGCTTGATGCGCCTTGCTCTTCGCGTTTGGCGATTGGCTGTAGTAGTAGCTCTCGGAAGGTCGTGTTTCGACTCTATGAGTTCGTATCCATCCATGGTGAATGGGTGAACGGAAGGGTCCAATCAGGCTAAAGGGCACGTCTCATATTATGAAGCTCCACTAGAGAAGTGCGCCGGAAATCGGATAGAAGATAGGATACCTGCAGTAGCCGGTGTGAGTCCTGCATCACTTGACTGTGGGGAATCTGGGGATGCGACAACAAATGGAGTTACATAAGTACCTAAACGGGATTTTATCGGCGGTTATATAGGAGCGTGACATGGCATAGTTAGCAAAATCTGAAGGCATTTGGCAACAATTACTGTATCGGCCAAAATTATAACAATCTGTCACGTCACGCTGGCGGATTGTTGTGTTAGGACCACAAAAGTCACGTCACATTTTGGGATAGGTTGTTATCTCACAGGCCAGATGTCACACCCCCCTAAAATTGTTCAAAATCATCATGTTGCAGAAAAAAATCTTCCACATAGCTTCAATCTGATTTTGCCAATCAATTGAGCTCTGGGAGCTCGGGTTTGCCATTTTCAAGGTGTGTGCTCCCTAGGCCATGTCACCCAGATTTTTATCCCTGCAATGTCACGGCCAGTGGGTCAGCCATTGTTAAGGTCCAGACCAGATTGTTAGGTCACGATGTCACATCGGGTTGTTATAATTTTGGCCGATACAGTATTGTCTGATCAGAGCGTATTTGGTGCACCACTCCAAGTTCCGCTCGGCCTCTGTCAAATCTTGCGGAGTTTGTGGTGACTGCTGTGACTGTGGTGGCGAGCTTCTCAATGTGAGCAGCTTTGCCTTCACAAAGACCACATTAAGCAATAATTTTCTGCCAGAATCAACGGTAATCATACAGAGCAACCTTTGGTGGTAGAACAAGATGAAATGAAGATGATTGGTCTTCGCGCAGCGACTCTGAAGCCGTCACGCAGCCTCATTAGGCAGTCACAAAATTTGCTCGGAGTCTGTCAAAATCCGACAAATCGGGGCTTATAGGGTGCACCAAATACGCTCTATCGCAATGGCATGGATTTAAAGAGGTCGCGATGTTGATGAACTTCAATGCGGTGGGGCGGCGGGTCACGGTACAAGCGTTGGTCTTGCGGTGCTGTGAGACGGACTCTTTAGTAAATTTCAACTACTTCCGAAAGCGTCCACTCTCCTTCCGCCCACTGGCTCTACCTCGCTCACCGCTCCAAAATATTTTCAGAAACAAATGTCCTTCCTCATTGAGGCTCTCTTGGTGCACATCTACCACATCTGGTAAAAACAACAGCTGCAAGTGCTGTAGAAACGTGGTAGTCGCATTTTCATATGCAGACGCTGGAGATGGTAGGTAAGCATTCTACGCGATCTACTGATTTGGGAAGAAAACACCTTCCGCCTGTCTTAGCTCTACAGCTCCTCGACCTCTTCGGATCTTCAAGTTATCCGGCAATCCCTGAAATTCTACCCTGAATTCATGGCGCTTGCACAGCGAACGCATATATCTTCAGGGATCTCCTCTGGTCTCAGCATCGATCAAACGCTATCAATGTCCTTAACTGATGCCTTAATCATCGCCTAAATGCTGAGAGTCGGATCTATACACCTTGTGGCTTGCTGACGATCGCGTTTCAATACACCAAAACGCCACACCGACTGGCACACAGTCCAAGATTCACCCACCATTATGCTCCAGGAAGGGGTAAGCTTGCGACACCTTGCGCCCGTGAATATGTGCTACCATTGCATGTGGTATGTCTGCGACCTTTGTCGGAACACGGGCCATTCAACTGGTCCTTATGCTGCGAGCCGACACCGGAGACGATCTCGATGGCCCGGTCCTGGCTAGGCTCCGCTGCCTAACAGAATCTATCCATCAAAGACACTGCATGTGCATGGCATCTATCTAGAAGCCGCAAGTCTCGCTGCGAGCTGTACATGGCACATTGCCGTGCTCATTGTGCCATAACTCTCGGTCACAAACAATGTATTTCCAAGAAATATGCCACGGCACGTGGTATCCTCCACCCTGATATTTTGCTATGCACCGTCGCGTGTGTTGGTTTGGCTGGTATGCGAACGAAATTACGGGGCCCAGGGTCAAAGAGCAACGACGAAATTCATAATTTCTCGAACCCTGAACGGCGGCTTAATTGAATGCCATAGTCGAGGATTCTATCTCAAAGCTCAACAGGGGACCTGTCTCGCCTTTGCTCCAAAGCAGCCCAAATATCGAGCGGGTCTTGTCGCACTGCGAGCCCACCGATGTCTTCCGCCGGACATTTCAAACTCAAAGTATTTACGTGAAATCGATGCTCAGATGCAACAAAGAGGCGGTGGCTGGTGGTGGCGAGCCACAGAATGGTCTATCTGACACCAAGCAAATGGTAAATGAATGGCACTCGCCCAGTTTCTCTCGGGAAAATGTCATCTGACAAAAGGAGAGTCCACTAACATCCGGTCCGACCAATTGACGCCCTTGACCTCCCAAGCCCTCAAAAGCTGCTCGCAGTTTGGTCCTACGAGTACAAACAATCTTCCATGGCAGCCCCATCCACAACTCCGAACGATTACTTCCAAAAACTCCCAACCGACCTCACTGGCCAAGTTGTGTATCTCTCAACTGGTGGTATCTACGGGGGGCATGGTCATGTTGGCCAAGGCATCATAACCGATCCGGCCGGTTGCAAAATTACAGTAAGATTGTGCCATCTCTCATGCACATTTTTATTTTTGCTTATTGATCATTCATCGGCTCTACCAGGTTGCAGTGAAAGTTGTCACAGCTCTGAAGAGCACTGTTGGCTATATCACAAGCGCTGAACGCCATAGGTTCGACAAGGCAAGTTTCTCCACACCTACCGCCAACTTCACATTAGTAAACTTGACAAATTTGATAGAGAGTGCGCCGGGAGAAGAAAGTCTGGGAGATCCTCAACCATAAGAATGTTGTGCCGTTGTTGGGGATCACTATGGATTGTCCGTTTTCGCCTCGGGGATCCAATCCGTTGGCGATGATTTCACCATGGATGAGCCAAGGAAACCTCTTCAAGGCCCTGGAATCTGACCCACCTCCGGAGAGGCGTTTACACCTGGTGCGTGGTGTTGCGCAATGCATAGACAAATTCGTGACTAATTTGTCTGGTCAACAGTTGCGCGGAGTCGCTGAAGGTCTCGAGCACCGTGCGTAGACCCTATTCTATGTTCAATCTATACCTTTACAGTTTTTCTCAGTCCACTCGTTAAAAATCATCCATGGCGACCTTTATCCAGTAAGTTTCTCATTTGTCTCTGGTTAGACATGTATAGATCATCTCACGACTGCCAAGGCCAACGTTCTCATCGACGACGACGGAAACGCGTGCTTAACCGACTTCGGACTCTCATTCATCGTGCCTGATTTTATAGACACGTCGTATTGGTCTCGATCCGTTGGCGGCGCGATGCGCTGGAGAGCGCCCGAGCTGATACCTGCCTCGCCCACTGCAGAAATTGAGAGTGCCGGGGATTTGACAACGATGTGTGATATCTGGTCTTTTGGCAGCCTTGCATTGCATGTGAGTAACACTTGCTATTCAACTCTCCTTTACCCTAGTTGATATATTTTCAGGTCTTATCCGGTCATATCCCTTACTACAACATTCGTGATGATTGCAGAGTCATAATTTGTCTACATCACCGTATGCTACCAGAAAAACCTCCTGGATTGGCTGCTATGTATTGGGAGCTTATCGTTCGTTGCTGGGGTGAACCAAACAATCCATCCTCTCGCCCAGCTGTGCAAGAGGTCCTGAAGACTATTTCCCTCCTTTAAATACATTTACACTAGTACTGTTTTCCATGTTAGCTCTACATTGCGAATTACCACCATATGCTTAATCCAACTCTCTGGATTTAATGTAATAGGCTGTATGCTCCCTCTTCCTACAAAACAGTCCGAAAATCGAGCGGCAGGGATAATGCATTATTTAGTCTGGTACAATATAGCGTCAGTTTGCTTGTCTGAAAACATGAGTAGCTAAGAGTCGAACAGCACAAGTCGGAAGATCTGCGTTCAGATCCGGAATGTACGGAATGTCATAGCCTGCGGGGTGATTCAGCTCTCCACATTATGTGGCCCGGAGATTTAATTTTCAAGCATCCCGACAGATTTTTTGCTCCAGGTACATATCAATCTGGTTCTATGAGACAAGATCTTGTCTGCGCTGGCAGTTCCGAAATGCATAGCATTGTAAGAACACAAGATTAACCCCTGGACTCCTCGGATATGCCACGCAGTGATGCACTGCCAGGTGCAGCGGTTCCATCGGTGGTAGCACTATACTAGCAGCACTGCAGTCTATGAGAGTCTGTAGGATATGAAGTGCTCGGGGCGATTATCCGAGAAGTATTCCGAACCTAAGGTGCGTGGGTTATACTCACAGACGATACTCACCTATACTTACTAGTATGTGACGGCTTGGGGCAAATTGACGTTCAGGGAAAATGCCAAAGCCACGCGACGTACGTGTGGCAAATTGGTGGCAAAGCTAGGGAAATTTATCCACAGGTGGATATAAAGAAACATCCTCTTTGATTACTCTTGACGATCACTTCCTTTATAGGCTACCTGGCGCAATGGTAGCGCGTTTGACTTCGATTGTCTGATGCGCATCAAAAGGTTGCAGGTTCGAGTCCTGCGGTGGTCAAAAATCTTTTCGCCACTGCTCTGAGCATTCCGCACGGCCTGAGCCATCAGGTGCCTACGGAATATTTTGCCTCGAGAAACCCCAAATTTGTGATCTGGAGTAAGTACATACAATTGCTAGATGAAAAAGTGAGGTACACTCCATACAGACTCACTCCTGGCACGCAAACTCCTTCCGATGGAACTCACAAGGCCAGTTACCAATCGCGATACCCTCGCCAGCTGCAACTCTGATCATCTCCCCATTCCCCTCGTCGTCGATGTTGACCTTGACGCAAAATTCATCCGTGACCTCGTCCACATGATGCCATTCGCCGCATATACCCAGGCCGAATGGATGCGGGAAGAACTCGTCGTCGCCAGGCTCTTCGGGGTCTGCGAGGAACCGATGATAGAGCGCCTGCTTCGGCTCGAGTCGACGCGTCGAGTCGGGATTCATGAGCCCTTCGAGTAGGTCGAATGCAGCGTCGATATCTTCAGCGTATTCCTCGGGAGTAGGAGGCGCCAGTAATGTATTCGGCGACGGGGATCGCCGCGGCGACGACGAGCGGTCCAGGCCGGAGGAAGAAGATGCTGGCGGTAGGTGGACATTCATATGCGATTGGGATTGGGGTATTGTATTGTATGGGTAAAATTCCGGGTTCGGAGGATGTGGTTCCATTAATTTTGGGTTCTGTTTGGAGACGAATGTTCGCCAGGGCATTCCTTCCGAGGTAACAGAAGGCACATTGGTCACAAAAGTTCGACCTGTAGGTGTATGTGAGGAAGCCAGTTCATTCAAGTTGGGAGGTAGTTACTGTGTAAAGTCGCGGTCTTTTCCATTTTCTTCCGGCCGATGATCGTGGCGACCTCCATGAGCGCCTCGACATCGTCATTTGATTGGAATAAGGGGAATTTGCCTGTCAAGAAGAAAAGGAGGATCATCCCCGCGGACCAAACATCGATTGCTGTACCATCCAGAATATGGGTCCAAATTACGCATTTATTCTAGTAGGGCTCGTACCTCCAGTCTGGTCCCCACATTTAAGCAAGACTTCGGGGGCTCGGAACCCTCTCGTGCCAGCACGATTTGCCTTGGAGTGTGGTCTGAAGAAAGATAACTGTTAGAACGCTCCAAGAGAGGAAACGTAGAACGCCCGCACCTTGTGTCTTTATCAGGATATCCGACTCTTTCGCTTGGCCAATTACTCCTCGTACGAGAATCGCGCTGCATGGCCTTGACGTGATCCTCGTCGTACTCTATCCTCTTTTTGCGCAGCCGTCCGTGTGGGTGTTCGCGTGTTCCAGGATGATGCAAGCAAGCGCCATGGCTCGGACCTGGTTCCATGCGCTGAAGAAACCTCGTTAGCCTGGCAGATACAACCGCAAGGGGTAACGCACGCAGGCAAGGCCAAAGTCACAGAGGGTACCAATGCCTGTGCGCGGATCAAAGAGGAAGTTGGCGGGTTTGACGTCGCGATGTATTATCCCTCGCGCGTGTATATCACGGAGGGCGCGGAACATGCAGCGAAAGTATGCTTTTACGCCAGGCATGGGTAGCGTCCGGAAGAACTCCTGCGTCTCTCATAAGTAGCTTTCTGGCGCGCCTGACCAAAAGCATAACAAGGCTCACTCTGAAGTCGACATTGCGGTGGTAAGGCATGATGGCTACAACCTGGTCCTCATTTCTGAAGGCCGTGATCAGCTGGCTGACATGCCTACACCCCCTGCAATCCTCCATAATCGCAATCTCGTTTCGAATGCGCTCGGGGCTACTCGTTACATAGATTCGTTTGATTGCGACGTAAACCTTGCTTCCTGCAGGTCTCGGCGCGGTTTGATAGTGGGCGGAGGAGGAAACTGGATGGTGCCCGTGCCAGGGCGTGTTGTCCCACTTTGAATGGTATCCCATGTCAATAGCCTTGTAGACAGACGAAAATGTTCCCGTTCCAAGACGGTCAATGATCTTGTAGTCGTTGTTTAATCTGGGAACAGCTTCTTCGACTTCTGCAATCTCCTCTTCGATCTCCTGCTGCTCCTCTGGCGGCTTGCGCGACAAGGTCTCCTCTTCAGAATCCTGCATCTCTTCGTCTTCGTCCTCCCCAACCCCCTTCCCCTGCGCAAATTCTTCTTCCTCGAGAGGCGCCATTAGCTCGTCGTCGCTCTCCGACTCCGCGTCTAGATCAACCATCTTGTCCGTCGCGCCACGTCGCTGGACGCGGTATGTACCTATTTCTTCCTTTGAAACATTGGGATCATCAGAGGAGTACATGCTTCCCTCTTCGCAGGCAGCTTTGGACCTCTGGTAGGTCTGGAGAAGTTCTTTGTTCGTTACATCCGAAGTTGGTAGTTCCAGAGGATTTGACGAGTGCTGGGAAAGAAGAAAAGACGTAGCCATAATTCTAAAAGTTCTGCGCTAATCAGTGCTGTAGTTGATGCTGTTGACCAGGACAGTTGGGGGTCAAAAGAGATGGTGCATAACAGAGTGACAATGTCACGATCGCGTCGACATTTGAAAGTGATCGCGTCGAACGGTCACGCGTCTGTTGCAATTGAGGATTGTGGCAAAACGACACAAAAAGTCTTTTGACCACCGCAGGACTCGAACCTGCAACCTTTTGATGCGCATCAGACAATCGAAGTCAAACGCGCTACCATTGCGCCAGGTAGCCTTGAAAGGGGCAAGCTATTGTCCAATATCACGCGGGCGGACTACTGCAATTTGCCACAGTCATACCCTTATCTCTTCAGCTTCTTCGTGCATTTCTGGCTCCGTCTCACCTTTTTCTCCATTGTCTCTAGCAGCTCAAATTGCCGCATCCACATCGACTCTAATCAAGAATATGGTAGAAGTCTCCACGTTCGAACCTGTGTTGTACCTTGGCACCGGTAGCTGTGTTTATGGCAGCTGTGATGCTGTCGCCGCAACTTGAAGGAGTGGCGCCCAATCACGATTCACTCTCTGATACTTACCACCACTATGGCTTTGAACTGGGCAATGATCGGGCCCGACGGGACTCCTGTACCTCTCCCTCACGAACAGACTATCAAGACAATCGACTCTGGTGTCGAATTATCCCTCACCATCCCAGACGCACCGCCATCATCTTCGAGTAACGCGGGCGGCTCGGGCGGCACCAAGAAACTGAAGGAGTCCGGACGACTCTGGCTTACGGATCAGCGGGTGCGCTGAGTACTCTCTGAACTTGCATGCCTTACTTGACGTCGGTCCACGATCTGTAGCTGATCTTTGTCGCGCCTAACAAAGGCGGACTGGAGTCTCTCTCGGTACCATTACTTTCCATCTTGTCTACAGCGTTCGAACAGCCCATGTTCGGCGCCAACTACCTGTCTTTTGAGATCAAGCCATCTCCAGAGGGTGGCTTGGCTGATGGAACGAAAGCCGAGATCAGACTCAAGGATAAAGGCATCTTCGAATTTGTCGGTGTTGTTGAGAAGACAAGGGAGCGTGCGATATACATGAAGCGCCAGAAAGCGGAGGAGGAGGAAGAGGATGGTCTACGTATGTTTCTCCCTTGCTGCTTCATAACAACCCCCCTCATCTCCTCCGCCCATAGCCGTATACACCTCTCCCACCACAGTGCCAACTGGCTCTAGCCAAGCCTTAGCTCCTCCCGCGGATGGCCCCCCTGGCTATGACGCTTCAATTTGAATACCAGACGATTGCAAGCGGAAATGTATTTGGTGTGAATCGATTTTGTATAATAATTGGCATTCGCCCCCAGTCCACTAAGATATTAAGTCAACCGCCCGATGCTGTGCATCGCATCGTTTGTAAGGACATTGCCTCGCACTGCGATGAAGCTTTTGTGGTTCAGAGGTGCGCATAGCATTCATAAATGTCGTGGCAATCCGCGCGATTTTGGGCTATTGTTATGGACATCCAGATAATGCTCGCAATTAAGTGACTGCATAGCCTCCCAAGCTGTTTGAAGAGAATGGTTTGAGTGTGCCAATGAACCACATCCATCTCATTTATGACCTTTGTTTCGTCAACTATCGTACAAGTCTTATCCAATGTATATCGCTCCTGCATATACTGCCGTATCACGGATGCTCCAGCAGATAGCCACCATCGAAGACCACAGTCTGCCCATAAGCGTATTGGTTGCACGCTAGTGCTAGCACCGCCTGCGCCATATCTTCCTCAGAGCCCGGACGCCCAGCAGGGATGCCCTTCTTCTCACCATAGCTGTCGTCAACAGGGATAGATGACTTGTTTTGTTCGTCCGAGCCGTCCGCTATTGAGAACACTTGTTAGCAAGTGTCGATGGTAAAGACAGCAGGAGACACTTACTCGTCATCTCCGAGGGGAAGATGCCTGGCGCGATGCTGTTGACTCGGACTTTCACACCCGGTCTCCGCAACTCTTGGGCGAGAAGCGTGTTAAGGTGGATCGCGGCCCCCTTGGAGACATTGTATTTGAAATGGTGTTGCGATGTTCGCGTGATACCGGACATGGAACTGATATTTATGACGCTGGATGTGTACCCAGGCTTTTTCGCCGAAGCCTTGGACAGAAGAGGAATGAAGCCAGCGGTCATGAAAAAGTATCTGCATATGACGAAGTCAATAAGTAACGCGTATATACGCGAAAAATTCTGCGATGGATGACGGACCCGATGACATTGGTTCGATACACATTCTCCCAGGATGCGAAGTCCTCGTCGAATAGTTCTTTCGCGAGCTCCTCTGCACTTTCGTCGCCCTTCTCCACTTCGCTGGTGCCTTCGCTGATCCCGGCATTGTTTACAAGCAAATCGATATGATCCTCTTTCTTCGAGATCTCCTCCACAAGTGATTTGATGGACTGTTTGTCGGTGATGTCACATGCCAAGGGAATGAGTGCACCGTTGGCATGCGCGAGGTTGGAACCGCCGTGTTTAGATACTGCATTTTGCAGTGACTCGACGCGACGAGAGGTGATATATACTCGTGCGCCGTTGTTCGCCAGGGCTTGAGCTATCATGAGACCAATCCTTAGTCATGCATTGGTCAGTA